TATTCACCCAATGACATGGAAAACCAGTGATTTCATATTTAGAAATGGATTCTATATAACTGCTGGGCATGACCCAATTCCCTTGACACACATCCATGATAGACTTTCAAAATAAGACTAAAGGGACTCTACAAAATAAAAGCCTCTTCCTTACACACACTCATTCATTGTGCTGTGTGGCTTGTAGCTATGACCCAAATTCAACCAATTTCTTCAAATTACACTACCAAGGCCTGTGGACCACAGACCTCAGAGCATATTTCTTAACCAGGTTCTAAGTTTTACACTGAGATACAGCATCTGCTAACCTCATAACATGCAGCCTAAGCCTGCCAACGGTGCTTTCATCACTGCAGCGGCTCGTAACATGCAGGTTAGTTTTTTTTTTTATAAATTCAGCTCCTTAAGTGGTATTAACTCTCTTTCTATAAGCTTCTCTCTCTGTTCTTCCTCTGCTTCTCATGGTCAGTCTTGCACATAGGTTTGTATATTTTCAATCCTCTAAGGATGACACTGTTTTCTTTATGCTGATCAACCAACACATTTTAAATCATTTCAAATTGTTGTGCCAAGTCTTGACATTTCCACAATTTCAAAATTTTGATACTTATTCAATACCATCTTCCTCAACATTTTACTTCCCATCCTTGAGCTACTCGTATTTTCTTCAACCAGATAAGATTCAATTTTTTCTTTGTAATTTCTTTTCTGATTCAGCTAATTTAATATTTTTCAGCCTATGCTGTGAACCTTGGCTTAATTTTGCTCTTTTTCTGGACAGGAATTAAGCTTTTCTGTTTGCTGCTAATTCATAACATGCCTGACATGTTTCTGGGCAGTAGGTGGCCCCACTTCAAAATTTCTTTAGAAATTTTTCTAGAAACTTGATAGACATTATATTAAGACCCTTCTAGTGCACATGTTAATGACATTTTTGATATTATGTATGGTTTGGCTGTGCAGCTTTTAAGATGAGTTTCTTTCTGCCATTTTAGTGCCAAATAGTTCTACCCTAAAAAATTCTTCAGATGATTCAATTGTTTTCTGCAGTTTGAAGTTTCTGATGACTTCCTATCACATTTTCATATGTTCTGCAGTTAATTTCAGCTTTATTCATTCAGCAAAAGCATTCCCACTTGCTGTTTCTCCGAAACAGCTTTTTCTAGTGATCATTAGTTTTCAACGTGCATTTTGGGAAATTTTGAATCCATTACTTTTTCATCCACTAGATGTTCGGACACTCATCTAAAGTGGCGTGACCACCATATAGTGCCCTATATAATGATTATGGCAGACATTCGGACACAGACTCAGAGTCAAATTTTTTACCTAACAAAACAGGCACTTTAAAAGTGTATCCTCCAGTAGAAACTGCCTGTTTTGTGAGGTTAAAAAATAGACAACTCTAAAGCAAGTCTTTCTAACCACATATAATGTGAAATGTATCTTGCACACCTGCACTGAAGAAAGTTACAATACCCTGTCTGCATAAGTGTGCAGACTCTTGAACAAATGCCATTTAAGCCCCTTGTGATTTCATCCATGATGTATTTCTATTGTAGAGATCTGTTCGGAATCACTGTGATGCAGAATAATGAAATGTATTTTTCCAAAAATTGACCAGTATTTGGATGTGATTGACTATACATTGATCATTTAGAAAAAATGATCTACCTAAAAAATGTAAACCCAAATTCTGATTTTGCCACCACTGTTCTTTGCTGTAGAAATGCTGTTTCGAATGCTTGCTTAGTGTTTAACTGATTGTAAACACATAGCAGCTATTTCTCTCATAACGTTTAGGGGCTTTTGATGCTAGGTCTGCTTGTCTTTTGTTTAGGGATGCACGATATTGGGATTTTGGCCGATATCCGATATGCCGATATTTTAAAACTCATGTAGCCGATAACCGATACCGATGTTAAAGCTGGACAAAAATTAGTAGTCATTGAAAATAGCAGTTTTGTTATCCATTTCTGACACTTTGAAAAATAATATACTCAAATATATTTTCATATGCTGATATCAAATTGATTTTTAAAAACGCGGTATCGATCTATTTTACTTTCAAAATCTCATGAAATTTCATCGTTCTGTTACAAATTCTCGTGATATTTTGCAAATTCTTGTGAGATTTTGTTAGTAAAATAGATCCATACCGCGTCAATATATCAACATATAAAAATATGGCAAAATTTCGTGAATTTCCGGGGGATTTCGTAGCATAACGATGACATATAGCAATATTTCATTTGTAAAGAGATTGATATGGTGTTTTTAAATGGCAATATATCAGCATATGAAGATATTGTGATATTTTAATGTATCAATATTTTTTCCCTCATCTTTAGAAGTTTTTAAGTCTGTAAAAAAGAAGTTTTTGAGGAAGAAGAAGAAGTAGTATTTTTTTTTATTTTTTTTTAGACTTTAGAAACTCAGAAGCTGATCAAATATCGGGTTAAATATCCGTGGGGTGGCCGATGTCCAATATTCAGTTTTAAGGCCGATACAGGCCGATACCGATAGGGGGCCGATTATATCGTGCATCCCTACTTTTGTTTATTTAATTTTTTTGCTGTGCAGGGAAATCTTTCTGTGTAGCATTCCTACTCCTTAGTTTTGACATAAGAATAAAGTGTGAATGCCTAACATTTGCAGTATAATGTTTTACCAAATGTTGCATCCAGAGAGTCTTTACTATCATCCCGTGTCTTTCAGCAGCTGTGACCTCACTAAGTGTCAATGCTAAAATTGAATCCAAGGCTACTTGATAACAGTATTTGTTTAAAAGTGTGTGTGTTCTCAATAATTCAAGAAGTTATCGCATCTGTTTCTTTTTTGGCAGGTCCCCTTACCCTTTTTTTTTTTTTTTTTTTTGGTCAAACAAAGCAAAAATAAATGTCAAATATAAGCTCTGAAGTTACATACAGGAATATTATTGTTTTTTTTTGTCGGTATATCTGTCCTTACTTCCAACATTCATTTTGCTTCTTTTACATGCGCTGTAGTTTTTTTTAAGGTTTTATATCTAAAATTTGCCATGAGTAATATTTAATTAAAATAATATAGTAATATTTGATATAAATGCATTTTAAAATAATAAGAAGGAGAACTTAAAAAGAAGAACTTAAATTGCTCAAACAAGGCAACAATCAAATTCATTATCTAAGGCAATATGAACCATGTTGAAAATAAACTCAGATGTATTTTATGTGAGACTCAAAGACAGAACAGCTATCCTAAGGGTTTGGCAAAAAGGAAAAAAAAAAAAAAACAAGAAAAAAAACCCTCCCCTTTAACAAGATACAGTGCAAGGCTCAAAGAAAAGGAGCCAGAAAAATTGAAAGTCCCTGATTGAATGTCCTCTCTCTGGAAAGGAAAAATAGAAAATCCCCCCAAAAAGTAAAAAACAAACAAACAATCCACTGGACTTTGTTTCCAAATTTCAAGACGTTTCTCTTCCTGGATGGAAACCTCAATGCAAATTGAACCGCACGATTTCCACAAAAAACAGAAGGATTAGTCAGTTTTAAATGGCAGCAGTAGGTTTGTCAGTAGCTCCACATTTACACAAATTATGGTTAAACAAAAATGCACTTTATGGTTAAACAAAGATGCACTGATGTACTTTATGAGGAGAATGAAAACATTGATAATATAGTAAAAGAAGAAGGGAAACAGACTGGCTGTAAGTAGGTGAGTGAATATAGTAAATAAATCTTTGCTTTTATCACAAATATAATCAGGTTCTGTATAGATATTTGTAGCCCATGTTAGCACATTGCCTTGGATGCCGTCTATTGCCTCTCATAATTAATTAAACAATTATTTTCTCCAAGCAAAAAATAGAAAAACAATATAACTATGACAAGAAAGAGGAAGAATTATTAGATACTTTCTTACAGATGAACAACCAGCAGTTCCCGTTGGTTACTGTTGTGTTCAGCTGCTCGCAACACGCCTGTCTATCTTTATCTTGAAATTTTTCAAGACTCTTTTTTAGTTTTGGGAATATAATATTAGGGTTTCAACCTCTAAATACTTGGCAGTAAGTATGTCTGAATGGCATGTTCCCTACTGATAAGAATTAGCTACATTTAGTTTCCTTCTTCTTCTGCCTTCGTACTGCAAAATCCTGGCATTATTCTCGGAAAGCATTCTGCAGGGTAGGTTGGTTTCACTTCTAGAAAAATCATGATCCAGGATTGATTGATAGGAGGCATCATGTCTAAAAGAGAGCTGTGGACGTTTATGTGCCTGGTTGTTTTTATCCTGAAGAGGATATGTTGCAAGAGATATTGCCTTGGGCCCCATATTGTATTAATAGAGAGTTTACCTGGTGTGATACATGGCTTCATGGTGTCTTTAGAGTAAATCTAGGTAAATACAAGGCCCTCCTACATATTTGACATTGTGGTGTTTTTTCTGCCTCCAGAGAGCCAGGCCTGGGTGTTTTACCGTGGAGCTGAATACTTGCTGGCTAACCAGCTTTACAGCTGGCACACAGTGTCTTTGGCTTGTCAGATGATGGGAGCCTACCTTCTGTCCATTCACTCCAGGGAAGAGTCGCAATTCATCAAGGAGCGCTTACGACGGGTTTGTTATTGGCCTTCTTCATAGACTGATTAACCCTGACAGGATACCACCTGTATATATCTGTAAACCACTATTTATAATTGTTTTGCTTCTACATTTCAATACTACCCTGTCAGTGTATTTTGAATCAAAGTAGAACATATAATAAGTTGTTTAGGCTTAAAATAAACAGCTACAAAAAAATAAACGTTTGAAACTTTTACAATCTTAAATCGCTTTATACGAAAATATGAATAATCATAGATGTTTTGTAACTCATTGAATAGAAACGCAGTCAGTCTGATTGAATCAGAGAGGCTTGCTACCTCTGAAAGCCATTATGAAGTTCGCAGTCATTGGAAAATCAGCAAGAATGTAGACAGTTACGCTTACTTGTCATACGACCTGTGATGTTTGAGCTAAGACATCTCTTACTTGTGGAAACTTGCTGAAGTCCATATATATATAGAGGGGTCAGAAGCTATACCAACACAAAGACATCAGTTGTGTTGGTATGTGTTATGACGGGCACTGTCAACTTAATTAAGCGTATACAAGTGTGCAGGTGCCTGTCTCTGAGTGGTTCCTAGAGGATGACGGAGACGTCCTAGTGGTGGAGGTGACAAATATAAAAGCTGCTTTTACCTCCATGTAGAGTCTGTAAGAGTGAACTGCCGTTTATGTTTGCTTAGTTTTTCATGTTTTTCTTAATTATGGAGATACGTATTTGTCATTTGGTCTGTTTACTTTTAATTAGGTAACTTTCAATTAATATTCGGATAGTTTCCCTTTGTTGTTTTTGGCATTGTAACTCTGAAGCCATATGCTCCATTTGTAACTTCTTAATCAAAAATACATATTTTTAAAGTAAATAACGTGATAAAATCTGCAACCTTGTGTGAGTTGGCTGCGTGGGATCTGGAGAGGACTGATCATCCATGCCATGATCTGGTCACCCTTAGACGGGTCGTAACATATGGCTCGTGAGGGGGATTATTAGAAACAACCATTAGTAAGGTGAGGAGTAATTGGTGTGTCTGAATGGGACCTGTGATCTTTCAGGTGTGGGACAATGATTTACTTTGGAGGAGAATATAACTGATATAGTTTTTGCTCTTTTCACAGTTCTCCCTGGGGCCGAGAAGCTGGTGGATTGGGCTTTCCTTTGGCCCACCAGGAGAGGAGGTCAGGTGTGTGACATTTGTTAAATATCTTTTCTGCTAAAATATTGTGTAGACAGATTTGTCAACAATAGTTGCCCTGGTCAGCAAACACAACAATGACCTTGGGTTACTTGATTTTCAGGTAAGACATGCCGAGCTTGTGATGCAATTTCTTTCAGTCTTGTCCGGTTTACAAACAAAAAGAGTAATTACCCACAATGTTATGATTGTGGGTTTTTTTTTTTTTTTTTTTACTTCTACTAGCAAAAACAAGTCATGCTTCTGCAATTTTCTTGTCTGAAGTGTTAAATAAAACAATAACCCAGTGTATTACGTCATGTTCATTTTGGTTCAATCCTCCATGCTCCAAGTTTTCAAGATGGGAACATAGATAAAAGGGCTGCTCAAGTCAAACGTTCTTCTCGGAAAGCTGCATGTCCCTGACTAGCCCTAATATAAAATACAGAATGGCTGCCATGTGCTTCTTGTTGAACAAAGTGTTTGTGTGCCTTTCTGATAGTTTGTATCAGATTGAACCTGGTGGAATGTAAAACATAGAGGTTAAACTAAAAAGAGAAGTAGGGGGAAAAACATCCGCTTTGGATAAATGAAAGAACAAAAGCTATGAAAATAAAATGTTAACGCCCTTCCTTCCTTCCTTCCTTCCTTCCTTCCTTCCTTCCTTCCTTCCTTCCTTCCTTCCTTCCTTCCTTCCTTCCTTCCTTCCTTCCTTCCTTCCTTCCTTCCTTCCTTCCTTCCTTCCTTCCTTACCCTCTCTCTCTCTCTCTCTCTCTCTCTTGCTCTCCCTTCCTTATGATACTTTTTTTCTAAACTTAATGTGCTTTCATTCCTTCCTTGATTTCTTTCCTTGCTTATTTCCTTGTGTCCTTCCTTTATCTCGGTGTTCTTGTTAGCTTCTTTTTTTTCCCATTACTTCATTGTGTCTCCCTTCCTTTCCTTTTTTCCTCCATTATGGTCATCCTTTCTTTCCTTTATTTCTTCCTCCTTTTTGGTTTTTATATTAAAAGCCCGAATGCTTCACCTGGCATCAGTTCTTTGTAAATATTAGTGTTATGAACTAAACACAGGACAGGGGACTTTGGAATGCCAGACTTGAAAGGTATATTTAGGAACCCCGACTTTGAAACCATAGCTATAAGACCCTGTATATAAATGTTGTTGTTCTTATTTAAGAGCCAACAATTTATGCTTGATTTAATGAAAATAATTTAGACTACAGTTACATGATCTTTGGACTATAAGGTAACAACATAATTTTAGTATAATTAAAGGCGAGAAACCAATCTGGTCACATTTTTCATAAGTTGAACCACTTTGTGCTTTTTTGTCTTTTTAAGGTGGAGCGACAAAACGGAGATACAGTTTCAGAACTGGGCAGAGGGGAGTTCAAACGCTGATCTTAGAAGAAACGGGATGTGTGTCTCCATGTCTTCTTCTACAGGTAGACACAGGCAGAGCAGCATGCTGCTTCTTATTTGATGCCAGCAGGCAGCTCTGAGATGTAACCTGGATGTTGCAGGGAAGTGGTCATTAAACAAATGCAGGGAACTTCATGGCTTTGTGTGCAAGAGAAGAACAGTGTCTGTGGTGGAGACTCCCCAGGAGCCACACTATATTGGAGCATGCCCAGAGAAGTGGCTCTACTTTGGACACAAGGTATACCATAGTGCTTGCAGACATACATGCATATATGTTCATTTAAATGCATTTTTAAGAGGACTGTGCTTTCAGCTGTACATTGTTAATAGCAGAAATTACATCTGTAGATATTAATAGTGACATATTTGTTTCACATTTTCAATTTTTTATAAGACAATTAAAATTTAAAATGGACACCGTGTTAAGATTTATCTCTAAAAATACCAACATATGACAAACTTTGAAACATCAGTCATTACGCAGTTATTCTAGCCCTTTGTCATGGTAAGAAGAAAGCATCCAGTATTTTGTTTTTTTGAGGTTCAACGTTCCCTGCAATCCAAGGAGTTTCAAGAATTTAGAAAAAAATAATGGATTCTCTTAATGTTTTCTTAATACAGCCTTAAACTCTTCTATAGTCAAAAAGGACATCGGTCTGATGGCTGAAGATTGGTTTAAGGCTGTTACTGACCCAGGAAAAGATTCTAGAAAACACAGAAGCTAAATGGCAAAATAAAAACAAAAAAAGATCCCTTACTCTTTGAAGACCTGATTAAAGATGCAGACATAAATGCAAACCTCAAAGAACTGGACCGATGCTGTGAAAGGAATGAACCAGATTTCCTCCACAGTTAGGTCCAAGGAAATTCTTTTAGAAAGCCACATTTCTAAATTGTTCTTGTAATATGTTGTTGCACAACTGCTCAATCCCTGACTTTATTTAGTTATGCACTCACACAGTAAGGTTTGGCACGACTCTTGTATAATGATCAATAACTTAGAGGAATGTGCTTTGTGTGATGTACATATTAGAAGGGATTTTGATTATTGTACAACCTCATAAATATTTAAGATCTGTATCATTTCTTAAAAGGCTTAACTCTCATGAATGAAAATAGAGGTTCAGATATTTACTTTCCTTCTTCAGTTTCTCAGAGAATGTTCTCATTCTGAGCTACCTCCTCCCACTTGTCTAAAATAATTGGCAGATCCTCAGCTGCTTTTGAGGTTGAAGCATTATTTACTCATATTACATGTAGGTTTGACTTTGCTCAGGTCGGATGTACTCTTAATCCAAATGTGGAAAATATAGAGAGCAAAAAGCCAGTTTATTAGTTATTAAAAAGTAAGCGGAAGCACTGGTGTATTTTAATGCTCTTCATCCTTTTATTAAGATTTTTATGTTCTGATTCCTCATAACCTCATCAGGTATGACTGCTCCGTATCCAACCTTAGCAAGCCTTTTAGCTATGACAGCTTGTATCTTCTACCTTTGAAACTCCCGTTCTAATGGTGCCGAGGGAATTCTGGTTAGTCTTACTGCTTTGTGTGTTTGTGTTGGCAGTGCCTCCTGCTTCACCTCCCTGGCAGCCCAAACGAAGGAAAGAGTTGGAAAGACGCCCAGTCCATCTGCTCTTTGTTTCAAGGCTCCCTGGTTGCCATAGAGGATGAGATTGAACAAGGTAGAGCCAGAGTGAACTCTATGATGGTTCATTTCAACGGGAAATCGATTTAGCTTTGTTCCTTTTCTCATTATTTCCCTGTTTTATTTAGTGTTTTTGTTTTCATGCTGTGATTTCTACAGCATACATAACCATGCTGCTCCAGGGCAGCTCTGCAGGTGTGTGGATTGGTCTGTGGGACGAGGACACAATGAAATGGACCAACGGGAAACCAGTCAGCTACACCAACTGGTCTCCAGAGCCAAATTATTCTTACTCTGTAAGGCCACAGAGAATGGTCACGGTCTTTACAAACCTGCCAAAAGTTTGCCAACAAAGCATAATTCAGCACGCTATACAGACCAGTGTGTTTACACATAGCTTGATAATATCTTGTGTTGGCCTCTCAGAGGGAGGACTGGCTCAGTAGAGATGTCGATGAACCGCTCTGCACGGTTTTGTCCAACAACCACAACTTCCACCTCACCGGGAAGTGGTATGACGAGAAGTGCAGCAAGACCGGATATGGCTTTGTTTGTCAAAAACCCCAAGGTGAGGCTGCATGTGGATTTGCTTCCTTTGTTTTCTAGCTTCACAGACACATAAATGTGATTGACTCTGCACATTTCTGCATTGAAGCTTTGATACTGAGGGCCAGCATGCGTTTTGTCCACTCTGTGGTCAACATGTGTGACTCAGTGGTTCTCAGTCTAATTGCAGAAGATGCATTTATATCAGAGATATAAAGCAGACCCATATAGAGAAACAGACCCATACAAAAACCTCCAGCATATTTTATAGTGGACTTTTAACCCTTTGATTGATACCAGCCTTACTTGGATCGTTGATTCCTGAAAAGCCTGATCATAACCTTAAAATAGCAATAAGTAATAATAATGACACCTAGTGTTTAAAATTGGAACAACACAAAAAACAGCATCCTTAAAGGCATAAGGAGGGTTCTTGCCATCATTACATGCAAAATTCCTGTTTTAAACACTGGATGTTGCTGCATATATAATTTTAATAATAATAATGAACTTTATTGATCTCACACTGGAGAAATTCACTCTCTGCATTAACCCATCCCCTTGGGGAGCAGTTGGTTGCCACTTTTGCGCTGCCCGGGGAGTAGTGTGGGGTTAAGGGTCTTGCTTTGGGACCCAGAGTGGCAGTCTGTGGGAGTTGAACTCAGAACCCTAATGCAATGCTCTAACTACTAGGCCCCCACTCCCCTAAATAGCTGGTATATGGGTCCTGAGCCCTACCTCAACACCATAGCATGGTTAGCAAAGTTTGGCATAGCATAGTTTGCTTTACTTTGTAGCTGCTTTTTGACGTCCGTCAGATTTAACAGTTTTCTGTCTTTATGTTTAACATCTTTGTAAGGATGCATTTAGACTTAAGTCTTGTTCTCTTTCTGTCTGGTGGACTTTAACCAGAGATGGCAAAAGTACTCACTTTCCGTACTTGAGTAAAAGTACAGATAGTTGTGTTAAAAAATACTCTGGTAAAAGTGGAAGTACTGATTAAACTTCTTTACTCAAGTAAAAGTAACAAAGTACAGGCTTGTAAATTTACTTAAAGTATAAAAGTAAAAGTAGAAACCACTTTTTTCATGCCATTGCCTACATTTTAAATGGATGTCTGCCAATAGGACTAGATCTCCGTTGTGTTCATTTTCAATCATCTCGTCGTCCATACTATTATGCTAACGCCACCGCCACCAAGCTGCAATGATTTGCCGCGAATGAATACCGCCGAATCTGTCGATTCATCTTGTAGTGGTGCGTCAAATGCAACGTAGATTCCCATCCAATTAGATTAAATTTGGTATTGATGACGTGAAAAATAATACAGTACAGTTACGAAGTATTTGTACTTCGTTACTTCCCATCTCTGACTTTAACCTGAACCTTAGCATGGAAAACCATTCTATTACACATTACCTGATGTTGCTGACTTCCTTTACTGTAATGTTTGGAAAAGTCCAACTGAATCTAAATGAATCAGAAAGCCATGAACAATTTACTGACACAAACTTAGGAGCAAACATAAAAAAAATATAAAAATTTCTTGCAAGCTAAATAACAAACATCTTTGAACTGCACAGTGGAGGAAATTCCTTTTTAAAACTGTACTAGTGGGGTTTGGTCAGTGAGTCATGTATACTTAGTAAAACAGCTGGGGAGATTTATTCAATGACCATAGTTGGGCATTTGCTATTCTTAAGTGAACTTAAGAGACCCATAACAAAAGGAAGTAAATGCCCCCCCCCCCCCCCCCCCCCCCCCCCCCCCCCCACAAATAAAAAATGTTCATAATCATAATGGGGCAATCTGATTTCTAAAACCACACACACACTCACCAGCAAATCTCCCTTTACAAATCACAGCAGTAACTCCAATCTACCGTGAAGGTTCCTCTTTACTGTCTACCCCTATACATCCACATTAAACCGTAAAAGGTCAATGATAAGGAACTAATGAATGCTGATTTGTATTTAACTGGGCCAGCTGACCCATGTTATTTCATGGTTAACAATGGCAACTATGGAGAAGAGATTTAAAAAAAAACATTCAGTTTAAATGAGGCAGAAATAAATGTGATAACTGAGGGTGAAAGTTGTTAGCTACAGTAGTGTGAAAACAAAGGAAGTGGTATCACAGAATGATCTGTTGTTTCGGGCAGAGAGTCAATTAGCTGTTGATTATTAACACCTGTGGGTTGATTCAGCTGGTAAGAGCCAGTTGACAAGAACCCCATAATACCTCAAAGAATCGTGCACCCAGCTTTTTTTTTATATATCAGAGTTGTGTGCTCTGACTTCATTTTTTTTGTTTAACACTGGGTTGGTCTCTCCAACACTTGAGCCAACTCAGTAAATGAATCAAAGAGTAAGGCTCTACAGTAGGTAGTCTAATCAGCTGCTAAACAAGTCATAGGCCAGGAGATCTTCTGTAATCCCTGAAAATGTGTTCCCGCCTCATTCTCCCATTCACACGGTTATCCAGCTGTGCTTAATGTGTCCTTTGCACAGCATTACACAAGAGTGTCCCAGCAGAATCTAAATTATTAAAGCAATCATTGTGATTGTTGCACAACTTGTCCCAATTTATAGGTTAATCTGTTGTTCACATCACTTTGATGACCTTAAAGGAAGGAAAATGATGGAGAGGAAGCTTTTAGATATTGCCTGGACTTAAAGATTAAGCTGGTGTATACAGCTTTTTTTTAATTCATGTTCGGGTCTTTATTTATAGTTATTAAAATGGTTTTGAATGCTTCTGATGAAGTGAAATTGAATTCCCCACCTCACTCACCTCATCCGCGTCACCAGTTTTCATTTCCTTACAATAAGCATGCACGAGTCGGAGTTGCAGTGAGGACCACACATTTTCCTGACAATGTTGGGCTTTTTTTTTTTTTATATACATATATAGATCCCAACCTTTTCATTTCATAAGCACATTTTAAGGCCCGTTGTGTGTGCATGCAACCGTTAAAAAGGATTTCCCTCATCAGTGGATCTGTGATTTTAGTAGGATGAAATTGCTGTTTTTTATGAATATGAAATGTTTTGACATTTTAGCTTTTATGGAATCTCAACCTTTTTTTAACTGAGTTTTAAGGCAGTGTATATTGCATAACCTTAAATGAATATTGGTCTATCTGTATCTGCATAGCTCTACCAGTATAGAGTTGGACTGACCTTAAAAGATTGAGGTTACATCTGATACTTTCAATAATGACTCAAGGAAAGTTGTATTTTTTTCTAAATATAAGCATGAAGTTCTAAATACCTCCTTTGTGTCAAAAATTAACATCTTGAAATAATCCTTTTAATACACATTGCTAGGACGTTGCAGTGGTTTTACTCTTTTTCTGTCTCTGCAGACACATCCAAACCCCCCACCCACTCCTATCACCACCCTCTTCCTGACAACATTGAGTACAGGAGCAGCACCTACAAGGTTGTGTCTGGTAACATGAGCTGGTACGACGCGATGCACATGTGCCTAGAAAATGATTCTGAGCTAGTGAGCATTACAGATGCCTACCACCAGGCTTTCCTTACTGTCCTTGTCAATAGATTGGACGCCCCCCACTGGATCGGACTGTACAGTCAAGATGTATGTACCAACTCATGTGCTTTCTACTCTATATTTCTACTGTGTGACACTTTTGATATACAGTGAGGAAAATAAGCATTTGTTATTTTGCAAGTTCTCTCACTTAGAAATCATGGAAAGCACTTAAATTGAAATTGTAGGTGCATGTCTACAGTGAGACATAATCTAAAAATAAGAATTAATATATCCCAATGTATCACCATTTTTTAACTATTTATTAATATGATACAGCTGCAAATAAGTATTTGAACACCTGTCTATCAGCTAGACTTCTGACCCTCATAGACCTTTTAGTCTGCCTTCAAAATGTCCACCTCCACTTCATTTATTATCCTAAATTGCACCTGTTTTAGGTCATTAGCTGCATAGACACACCTGTCCACCCCATACGATCAGTAAGAATCCAACTACCAACATGGCCAAGACCAAAGAGCTCTCCAAAGACACTAGAGACAACATTATACACCTTAACAAGGCTGGAAAGTGCTAAAGGGAAATTGCCAAGCAGCTTGATGAAAGAAGGTTCACTGTTGGAGTCATTGACATGACTGTCAATCTCCCTCGGACTCCATGCAAGATCTCAACTTATGGGGTCTCAATGACCCTAAGAAAGGTGAGAAATCAGCCTATAATTACACAGGAAGAGATGGTCAATGACCTGAAAAGAGCTAGGACCACCATTTCCATGGTCACTGTTGGTAATACACTAAGATGTCATAGTTTGGAATCGCTGCCCTGCGATGGAATAGCGAACTGTCCAGAGTGTACCCCGCCCCTCGCTTTTGTAGACAGCTGGAGATGGGGGACCAGCACACCACAGATTCCGCTTGGGATAAGCGTGGTTGAAAATGGATGGATGGTTTGAAAACATGGCATGGAAGATTCCCCTGCTTAAACCAGCACATGTAAAGGCCCGTCTGAAGTTTGCCAATGACCAGTTGGATGATCCATAGGAGTCATGGGAGAAAGTCATGTGATCAGATGAGACCAAAATAGAAACTTTTGGTCATAATTCCACTAACCCTGTTTGGAGGAAGACGAATATAGAGGACCATCCCAAGAAAACCATCCCTATTGTAAAGCATGAAGATTGTCGCATCATACTTTGGGGGTGTTTTTCTGGACAATGGACAGAGCAACTGCACTAATTTCAAAAGAGATTTTATTGTGAGATTTTGGGGAAGAACCTTCTTCCCTCAGTTAGAGCATTGAAGATGGGTGGAGCCTGGGTCTTCCAACATGACATATCCGGAAGAATCCTGGAAGGACCATATCAAGAGTCTGAAATGGCCTAGCCAGTCTCCAGACCTAAGCCCAATAGAGAGTCTTTGGGGGGAGCTCAAATTCTGCGTTTCACAGCCCAGAAACCTGATGAATCTAGAGAATATCTGTGTAGAGGAGTTGGCCAAAATTCCCCCTGCAGGGTTTGCAAGCCTGGTGAAAAACTACAGGAAGCGTCTTACCACTGTAAGACGCTTGCCACTTGCAAACAAGTCTACTGTACCAAATATTAACATTTGTTTTCTGAGATGTTCAAATACCTTTTTGCAGCTGTATCATACAACTAAATAGTTAAAAATCATACATTGCAATTTGTGGATTTTTCTTTTTAGATTATGTCTCTCACAGTGGGCATGGACATACGATGACAATGTCAGACCCCTCCATGATTTCTAAGTAGGAGAAAAAAGAAAAAAAAAAGCAGGGTGTTTAGATACTTATTTTTTCCTCACTGTATGAGTGGGTGTCTAGCTTGCCTTATTGCTCTTTGCTTTTAAAATCTTCTGTTGAATTACACAGACAGTTTAAATTCAATGGTTTTGAAGTTCTTAAGTAATCTAGAAGTCAAGACAACTTAATCCAGGGGGAAAATAGCTTGAAACCAAATTATCTTGTGGGAAAATGTTGCTTATCTGAATTACAAAGTATCATGGAAAATCCCGGCATGCAGTAGATAACCACAGACTGTGTTGAGTTTGTTTTTCATAGTTTCTCAGCCTTTGTGAAACTCTGGGGCTGTATTTTGGCCTTTTTAAGCCATCCAGATATGTACTTTCCCTCTTAGCAGAGAAAGAATTAGAGTTTGGATCCAGTCATTGCAGATCCCTCATGGGGCTGTCCTTAAAAAAAAGGGAAATAAATAAAGGAAGTGATGGTTTCTATTTTTCTCCCATCTTTCTCCTTGTTAAATTCTATACAGGGACCCAGAAATAGCCGTAGCACTTTACTCATACAACGTCAGCCTCTTGCTATGTCACTTATTACACCATAACATCAATAATTAAAGAAAAACTTCAATTTAGATAGATTATTAGTTACCTTATTATCTTAAAACAAATATTCTTGTGAAAAAGATTTAAAATACTTACAAAAAAGGGTTAACTGCTGTGATATGTGTGGAGCTCCCTGACAATAAGCTGGCTACTGTTAATCTTTACAGAGTGGCATCAATTATAAGTGGTCAGATGGCAGTGACACAGTATACACACACTGGGACCCATCCAATGATGAAGATGATGACTTTGTTTCTGGAGAGTGTGTGTACATGGACATGAACGGGGGCTGGAGGAGAGCAGACTGTGAGAATCGGTTACCAGGAGCTCTTTGTCGCATTCCTCTGCCAAGTCAGTATCATTTCTGTGATGAAGCATTAAAACTGGGATTCTTTACCGGATCTAGTCAGATTTGTAAAATCAAACTCTTACGTTTCTTCGCAGGCAGTAAACCATTTATTTCTTATGAGACGTCCTGTCCATCCACCTGGGTGAAGTTTGGACGAGGTTGCTACAACTTTGAGCCAGTGGTTGAGAAACTCACCTTTGAAGAGTCAAGAATCCACTGTAAACAGAAAGGTATATTTGTCTTCCTTTTTTTTCCCTTTATTTCAATGTTAATCAGTGCAGAATAACAATTTTAAAAGTAAAAAAACTAAATAGTGGCATTAATAATTGCAATTTTTTGGTATTTTTAGATATCCACTTTTAAGAGAAGATAGACTTTATTGATAAATGAGGTCTATGTGGTATATACAGTGCAGCCATATATATACACTATATTGCCAAAAGTATTTGCTCACCTGCCTTGACTCACATATGAGCTTAAGTGACATCCCGTTCCTAATCCATAGGGTTCAATATGACGTCGGTCCACCCTTTGCAGCTAGAACAGCTTCAACTCTTCTGGGAAGGCTGTCCACAAGGTTTAGGAGTGTGTTTATGGGAATTTTTGACCATTCTTCCAGAAGCGCATTTGTGAGGTCGCACACTGATGTTGGACGAGAAGGCCTGGCTCTCAGTCTCCGCTCTAATTCATCCCAAAGGTGTTCTATCGGGTTGAGGTCAGGACTCTGTGCAGGCCAGTCAAGTTCATCCACACCAGACTCTGTCATCCATGTCTTTATGGACCTTGCTTTGTGCACTGGTGCACAGTCATGTTGGAAGAGGAAGGGGCCAGCTCCAAACTGTTCCCACAAAGTTGGGAGCATGGAATTGTCCAAAATGTCTTGGTATGCTGAAGCATTCAGAGTTCCTTTCACTGGAACTAAGGGGCCAAGCCCAGCTCCTGAAAAACAACCCCACACCATAATCCCCCCTCCACCAAACTTTACACTTGGCACAATGCAGTCAGACAAGTACCGTTCTCCTGGCAACCGCCAAACCCAGACCCGTCCATCAGATTGCCAGATGGAGAAGCGCGATTCGTCACTCCAGAGAACGCGTCTCCACTGCTCTAGAGTCCAGTGGCGGCGTGCTTTACACCACCGCATCCGACGCTTTGCATTGCACTTGGTGATGTATGGCTTGGATGCAGCTGCTCGACCATGGAAACCCATTCCATGAAGCTCTCTGCGCACTGTTCTTGAGCTAATCTGAAGGCCACATGAAGTTTGGAGGTCTGTAGTGATTGACTCTGCAGAAAGTTGGCGACCTCTTCGCACTATGCGCTTCAGCATCCGCTGACCCCGCTCCGTCAGTTTACGTGGCCTACCACTTCGTGGCTGAGTTGCTGTCGTTCCCAAACACTTCCATTTTCTAATAATACAGCTGACAGTTGACTGTGGAATATTTAGGAGCGAGGAAATTTCACGACTGGATTTGTTGCACAGGTGGCATCCTATCACAGTTCCACGCTGGAATTCACTGAGCTCCTGAGAGCGACCCATTCTTTCACAAATGTTTGTAAAAACAGTCTGCATGCCTAGGTGCTTGAATTTATACACCTGTGGCCATGGAAGTGATTGGAACACCTGATTCCAATAATTTGGATGGGTGAGCAAATACTTTTGGCAATATAGTGTATATATATATATATATATATATATATATATATATATATATATATATATATATATGTAGGTGAAGTCTCCTATTTAGCAGATTGTTGCACAGGGTATTAAATAGTAATTGCACATTAGTTGTTGCACAAATTATTGCAGTTATAGTACCGCATTATAAAGTTTGACTACTATAACTTATACCACTTAGAACTGTGAACTGCAATGATGGAAGAGCAGAACACCAAATTTTAAATGGACTAATAAAAAATATATTTTTCTTAAGTATTTTTGTGTTGAATATGAGCCTGCTGTAAAACCCCTCCACCTAGTCATGATACTTTTTTCTTTACGAAATAATGTACTGTGCCAGGCTAAAATTTCTAGCAATATTTTGGGCATTTGCCTGTAAACTATTAACTCTCAACTCGTTTGAATGGTATTCTCGTCCTATTATCTGTAGTTTTCCATAAATGATGAAATAACACATTGCTTAAATTACCCTCTGATTTCTTGTGTGGCTTATGGTCATTTAACTGCGTTTTAGCCACCTGGGGAAACTTAGGCCTTAGATCACCTAAAATTTAAAAACTTGTAAATCTTGAACTTGTCTAATGAGTAATCAAGTATCCCATAGTAAAGTAAGATTCTTTCAAGCAAGGTTTATGATTTACCGCACCTTTTTTTGGTTTTCGTTTTAGTTTAATGTTTTTTTTTTCTTTTACATTTTAGACCTTAACAAAGAGCCTCAGTTCCAGTTTGTTCTGAATCTAAAGCTGTATAGAAAAATAAAACTGATTGTAGTATAGTGATTTTAAAGTCTAAAATGCACTCAGTCTCTCTTTAAAAAACAAAAGTCAATCAATCAAAATACTGCAAATTGTAACTCCTAAGTCCTGTTCCTAGCTCCAATCCCTTCATATTTTGTTGGGTTAACAGAAAGAACACTATTTGGGAAGTAAAAGAACTCTGTACTTCTGGACTAAATCTTGGCAGATATTATGTGGAAACGTACATGAATAACGCTTGTTATTTCTTTCTAAAAAAAGAACTACAACCCTAAAGTTACACAAACTTAGCAATGGCTGAGCTCTTCATTATAAAACCCAAAACATATGAAGGTGTATACTTTTACATGTGTACACACTCAATGTATTTCTGTTCAATTCTCTGAGGTGGTCTGTCTCTATATGTCCTGTCACTTGAAGAATTCTGGGAGCTCCTAATCACCAGTATTAATTATGGAAAATCCAGGACCTTCACAGAAAGCCAATGATGAAACACTACTGAGATTTACTGACAAGGGCCCATTACTCCCAGGTACCACTGATGTTTCCAACATTGGCATTAAAGTACCCCAGTAGGGCGATGGCATCCCCAAGTGGTTTGCTGTCCAGCACTACAGCCAGGGACACTCAAAAGTCTAGACATCTTGTACCGACACAAGACGACTGGGCTTGGGAGAGACAAGCGAACCCATCCCAAGCCTCTGCCTCTCTTAAGGAGCTAGGTTTGAGAGCTCAGGCTGGACTATTTCTAGCTAGTATTGGTCAACCTCTTGCTTGAGGTCAAGCTTCTTCCCTCCCAGCGAGGTGACATTTCAAGCCCCAAGAGGCATCTATTGATCAGGTTGCAAAGGGTTCCGCATCTGACTTCTGCCCGATCCATCCTCTTCACGACAAAAAAATTCTGCTCTGAATAAAACATTACAGAGTTTTCTAATGATACTGCCACCTGTGGCCAAAACACAGAACTGTAGCTCTTTCCTGCTCGTTCCGTTCTTGTAGCTCATGCAAGTCTACAATTTTTTATTACTTTTTTTTTTTTACCAGTTTTTTTTTACATTATCTTAATTTGCCATTGGTATCTGAGTTGAGTTGGATTCCAGTCGCTTCTGAGTATCCACAAAATCCATTTGGAATATATTGTTTCCATTTTTCGCAATCAAACCCTTCTAATCAAAAGTACATTTAGTTAAATAGGCTATAGGCTTATAGATGCATCGGTGCTGAACTACAGAGGTGTCGGTCTGCTTAAACTATGTCTTAGCCATAAAGGGTCAAAGATATTTTTCAGTACATATTGTCTTTTTAAGCCTAAATAAGAGTAAAAACACACTAAATGTATTGCATCTAAGAAATTAAAGTTGATTATTATGCTTTGCTCACCATCTAGTCAACACCTCAGATGTCCTGACCATTGAAAGTGAGACAGAGAACCGCTTTGTGCTGGAGCAGCTGTGGTCTTCTGGTTTCCTTCACCGCACTATTTGGTTGGGAATGTACTTCAACATTGACAGTAAAGACTTTTTAACCCTTTTTTGTAACATATTACACAGTGATGATGAGTTTCAGTTAACTTGAGGTTCTGCTTCCAGCTGATTCAATGTCCTGGGTTGATGGTTCACCAATGGACTACACCAACTGGGCTAATAAAGGCCCAGACACAAAACAGCTCACTGCAGATACCTGTGTTACAACCAGGGTGGTCGATGGTGTGTGGCATTTATCAACATGTGGGGAGCAGCTGGGTTTCATCTGCAAAACCTTCTCAGGTAAACATGGGTGCCCTCTAAAGCTTATCAAAGGGGCTACCACATTATAACCTTGATGGTGGCACACTTAATCCACAAGCAATACCTAAAGTGCAACCCACTCAATTGTGACATTCTATGAGGGACAAAATATCATAAAGGATAATAAAGTAATAAATAATTGCAAAACTAACTATGATCCTCCCCTTTTTAAATTCAAATTCACTTGTGGGAACCAAGGAATGTACAGAGACACTAAACTAAGAGCATTTTCAGTACGTGACGTTCTAAATGTAAGGGTGAGCGTTCATCTTTGATGTTGTAAATTAGACAGAAACAAAACTTTAATGAACACAAGCAGGTATAATTAGTTCAGGGCTGTTTGCATAAAGTAGCATTTGTTAGTTTAATAGTTTTTGAGGAATAAATTCAACAAACAAAAATTGTTAACCTTTATTTTTTTCTTTGTATTTGTATTTACCGGAATCTGTACACAGTCAGCTTTCCTGAGTGCCAGAGCTGACTTATCATAAAATGTTACTTAACTTCAGTCTTCCTTATCTTTTCCAGATGTAACTACTGAGGTGGAAGTGGAACCATTAAATGGTAAATCACTATAAAAACTGGAAAGATTTGTTTAGAGTTCTTCAAGCGCAAGCTAACAGTAATTGGTTTCAGTTGATCCCAATTACAGTAACTTGGGCAGAAAATGTCAATGTCATTCATTGTAAATTTCGCCCGTAAACGGAGTTATCTCTCATTGGTCTAAAATATGTTTTTTGCAGGTTTGCATCATGGCGTCATTTCTGCTGCAGTGCTGGTGGCAGTGTTGATCTTTGCCCTCCTGGCAGGAACCATGTGGTTTTTTTACAGGAGGAATCCAGCATGCTTTCGTGGTTCGCCCTCGCTAGGTAGCGCTTATTACAGACAAATTGACTCTCAAGCAGCAGAATCAGATGGAAACGTTCTGATTACAGACCTGGATGCCTACTATGGAGAATAACACCTAAGGATTTTGATAATTTGATAGCCTTTGTGTGTGTCTCAGAGTTTCCTTATCAGGGTGTAAGGGCCAATATAGTCATAAAGCTGTGACACCCAACTTCTCTGCAGACCTGGACAGTGGATGTTTTTGAAGTGTCCTCATGGCTCTCTGGTTTGGTTTATTCCATTCAACATTAGCATCAGCATTGAACTGAGACTAAAGTAGGACTCAGTCCAGTCTTCCAGTATGGAGAACCAGTGTTCTATCTTATGTTATACTTGAACTAAGATCAGTTTATTTAAAATATTGCGTAAATGATAGAGAGAGCTGTAAGCTTTGAATTTTCACACATTTTTAATAAAAAATAAATGAAAACCATTATGTCTGTTTGATAAAAGTTTGCTAAAGAAAATGAATGATTTCTAAGACTTTCTAAGACTTTCTAAGATTTCTAAGACTAAATTCTAAGAAAATTGAAAAAGAGAAGACTCAGAAAAATTGAAAAAGAGAAGGAAAAACTGGCTTTTCATATTTCTGTTAAGAAACAACACTGATAATTTGATATTGCTGATGTGATTCATTGTATGGTGCATACAGGAGCATCTGAATTTGCTGGATCTGCACATGTGGTGCAGCAAAGTTGTCAGTTTTACTTATGTATTTACATGTTATTTTGCAAGTGCTCATGCTGCATATTAGCATTGGAAGGTTTTCGTTTGTTTGTGTTGTTTGTTTGCTTGCAAAGTCCAAAAAATTGATAGGCTTCATTTCAGATTTGGTAATTAAGGAAAAAAAGAAGTTAATTTTTTTATTTTTTTTTTTTGATTCGTTTACAGGAAATTAAATTAAGGTGACATAAATGTGGTTATGAGTGGGTTTTTTTTTATAGGCTACATCAAATAAAAGTCTATAAAACAGAATTTTCCAGAAATCTTTTTTTCTTTTTTGCCAGTTTACCACTTCAGCTTTGTGTGGTATGGATACAACCCACATTTTAAAACTAGAATATTGCAATGCAGAATGAATACAATAACGTAAAGCATATATCTCCAACCTTCTGAACTTGGATACATACGTGTAAGAAATAGTTTAAATTATTTTTTTTTTTTTATTGACCACAACAAGTTAGAGTTACAAACTGAGAGCTGATCTTTTTTTAAGTTAAATTAAGTGATTAAAAGAAAAACCGGATGGAAGAAAATCGCATTTGTTGTAATCAGTGGGGTCAGATAAGGACACTGTCTCTAAGATTCCCAGATAATGACAAAGGGTTTGTCAAACTGTTTCATATATTTTTTTAATAAGATTGTGTCTGATTTAGATATCAATATTAAATATCAATGTTACAAGGAACTTGTAACAGCCAGTGCTACATTCCTTGCAAATTAATTATTTATATGTATATATATATATATATATATATATATATATATATATATATATATATATATATATATATATATATATATATATATATATATATATACATATATATATACATATATATATATATGTGTGTGTATATATATATATATATATATATATATATATATACATATATATATACATATATATATATATGTGTGTGTGTATATATATATATATATATATATACATATATATATATATATACATATATACATATATATATATATGACGCAAATGGGGGCGGGGGTTGGTCTAGAATGCACTTTGTATAATGTGATAAAAGGTTTTTGGGTGTGACTGTGTACAATCGTTTAGTATAGAGCGCTGATGGCACAACAAAACCGCAAATGGATTGACTTCAGATTAAAAGTATTCAATATTGCTCAAACAACTATGTTGAAAGATGTTGCAACTATGTTGCTAAACGCTCGTTGAAAGACACTTTTACATAATCTGAGATATATTTATTGATTTAATAGGCTATGGTTTCAGTAATAATTTTTTTAGTCATGTAATTTTTATCTTTGAAAATATAGCTCAGTCATCACCTTATTTATTTTTCTCCTTAGTTGTGAATCACGCTTAGTGTATATATATATATATATATATATATATATATATATATATATATATATATATATATATATATATATATATATATATATATATATATATATATATATATATATATATATTGTAACCCGGGTGTAAATCCGGGTTACAATATATATATATATTGTTATATTTTGGTAGACTTTTTCGCCGGTTTTTTTTTTTTTTTTTTTTATACGCCATAACCGGAAGTGATGACACGAGCTTGACAGCGCCACAGCTGACAGCAGGTTGATGTGGGTGGTTGGTTGGTCACTTTCTGTTCTGGAGTTCGTTTATCGTCCATCTCGGATTCACCGCTCTGGATTCGGAGATATAAAATAGTGAATTTATGAAGCCTTAGAAGGAAAAACGCCAAAAAGGACATAAGAAAATGACAGTGTCCGCAGTGAAACTTTGCCTTTGTTTGTTGACGCTTCTTGGGACATCTGTCCACCCAGCAGCCTGCGCATCGGTTCTAAACTCCGGTAAGTAATCTGCGACATTTCGCTTTTTATCCAACCTTTACCACTAAAATCGGGCTGTTTTACAATCAGCTCAGTTGGAAAATAACTTGGAGAAAAAACAATGGCAGAAATTAGGCCAAATAACCTGTTTGGTAACCACTATAGACAAAACCAACCTCTGTCTGTTTTGTTAAAACACTGCTGTTCCGGATTAAAATTATAATCCAGGTCTAATGAAACGAGATCATTTCTTTTATTACATATTCACTGCAGTGAAGTTGTTAAAGAACAAATAATTTACTGAAATCAGCATGTGAAGCCGCAAAGTGACTGTTTCCTATTTTAGAAAGCCTGCTTGGGTACATTGTAGATTTATAAATTTTTCTTTATATCTTAAACTGTAAATATATATATATATATACATTTCACTTAATTTTTTTTTTTCTTTAAATAAGATTTTTTTTTTTTAAACAGAACTCCCATCTTTTATTTGTACGTTTCTCAGGTTTTCAGAAGTAAATGGTAAATATATGAAGTCCAGAGGTGTTTTCAATGTGTTTCACATCAGATCTCATTTTCCTCAATAATTCAATGTTTATGTTATTTGATCTATGTTCTGCTTTGAGTGCGAACAAGTCCTCATTTTACCTTTCGGTTTCATGTTGTTCTTGGCATGAACTCGTGTTAGTTTGTGAGTCATGCACTATAGGCCTACTTCCTTCTATATAAAGGACCCTAAAAACTGTGACTAGACTTTAAAGCAACTTCTCTTTTTATATATTTATATTTTTATATATAAAAACTCATTTTAAAATCTTTTCCCAATTATTGTATGTGACTTATTACCTGTTTAATTAGACTAAAATCATTTGTACATCATAATTTTTGCATTCCAGTTGATCACATTCACGATTAAAGGTATAGTGGAGGATGGATCTTTTTCCGGGTGGATCATCAAAATAAGTGGTCTTCCTAATTGTCAATCATTCTGGTGATATGTTTACCATCCTACGTGCTCGTCCCCATTTTCACTTACCTGTGGTATGTCTGACATAGTGGAAAAATTGCAAATCTTCTTTTGGAAAGTAAGCTTCTATGAGGGATGCAAACAGGAAATTTTAAACAGAGCGTGCACGAGGAGAAATGGGTTCCTTTTTACATTTGCTGTGGACATTCAGGCCCCATTTATACCAAATACTAATCAGAGCAGATCAAACTTACCTTAGTAGATAACTAATACACCTCTTTAGTGTTCTTAACCATATTTCAATATAGAAATTTTGGGTAATTGAAAATCATAGATAAACATAATCTTCTTTCTTTGGTTTAGTATCTCATATTTAATGTCTATCTTGCTATAATTTTACTATGCAGAGAATTCTTGAGCTAGGCTATGCCGTGGTTAAGATGACATCATGTAAAACCAAATTTTAAAATAGGGGTTTAGTTTTCACTGTAAACCACTAAAGAAAATCTGCGTGTTGCAACACACTGAGGAAGAGCACATAAATCCAGATAAACATTAACTTAGCAGAGAAGGACAGATAAGTGGAGGAGGAATCAACCTTAAAGTTATTTCTTTCTCTGAGTGTTGCATAGACAGAAAAAATGCACCTGTGTTTTGTTTTTTTTGGGGGTTTTTTTTAGTATTTTTAGATGAATGTATTTAAAGGACAGCAAAAAATGTTTTGTGTTTTTTTTCTATCTCATCATCAGATGAAGATGCTTTTACCATTGAGCACTCCACCACGGGTAAATGCATAAAGACGGAGCCAAACAGAGAGTTCAGCCTTGCTTCCTGCAACTCCACCAACAGCTCCCAGCTATGGAAGTGGGGTTCAGGTGACCGGCTCTTCCACGTGGGAACGTCTCTCTGCTTGGCACTGAATGTCACATCGAAGATGCTTTCCCTGGTTGACTGCGGCGCCGGCCTCCCTTTGTCGTGGCGCTGCCTTGGTGGATCAGTGTTCACTGTATATCAAATGGGATTGACGGTCAGCAAAGATAAAGTCGTAGTAAGAAGGGATTCTAATGAGACTTGGGTTAGAGGAGGATCCCAAAACAACATCTGCCATGTTCCTTATCGTGGTAAGTGACCCCCCCCCCCTGCACAAAACCAGGAGAGTAGCTTACAATACACCCGACCGCCTGAAGCTTCAGGAAATTATTTAGGAAGAGGAACAAGGTATTGTTAAAATTCATTTTGCACAAAGTGCTGCAAATCTAATTTACTTATAGGATTTATTTCCTGAGTTGAACATCAACATACCTTCTTCAGATCTCTGTAACGTGTCTGGAGGAAAAAAACAAATGTGTCACAACCAGTTTCTTCTGCAAAGAAACTGGTTCTGACACATTTTAAGTAAGGCCTGCCTGGTTACCTGGCTGCATCATTATCACTTTGACCTTTTGTAGGATTGCATGTATCAGAATTCAGGTTTAGAGAGTAAAATGGTTTGGGGGATTTCCTTTGGATGCTTAGTTTGCTACATGGATTCTACTTCCCTTGCATGAACATTGCCCTGTGTATGAATATGATGACTCATGTAACACATAAAAAAGTTAAACCAAAGCCATGGAGATGAAATTACCCAGAATAATAAGCTTGGCATGCTTTATGGTGCATTATTGGAAATAATCTGATATTCTGTTGTAATCTGATCCCACTAGTACAAAAATATAAATGCTTACAACATCTGTATCATTAGATTTTATATAACACATATATATATATATAGATCAGCCTTAAAATGATCCCCACTCTGATCTACATTGAGCTATTTTGCTTATCTTTATTACAAAGTAAAATTTTTCTTGGGCAATCCTACAAGAAGTGATGCTTGTTACCAACCTATAGAATGTAGCAGTAATAGTTTCTCAATCAAAATA